CCATGACACAGCGCCCTCCACCATGACACAGCGCCCTCCACCATGACTCAGCGCCCTCCATCATGACACAGCACACGCGTCCCCCACCATTACACAGTGCCCTATAACATGACACAGCACGCACGCCCCCCACCATGACACAGCATCCCCCCAACTTGACACAGCACGCACAGCATCACACCATGCCCTCCCTGTTGGGGGGGGGGGGGGGTACATTTAGTTGTGGAGGATTAGGACATGCTGTCACATGAGAGTTCAGAGAAACAGAAAAACGCTCAGATGACGTTTGACACGACGACATGTTCAGATGTGAAGGCTGCAGAACAACAAGCCTGTGCATAGCCTGAATATTTACAGTTATTAGTTTTCATTATTTAAAAACAGAAGAAGAGATTATTTAATCTTAATTTAAAATCTGAAGCTCTGCTAGTGTTTATAACACAGCTGTTCTATTTGCTTTAGTTCATCTGGTTTTGAACGTAACTTTAACAGCCAGCCTGTGTCTGCTGAGACACATTTTTATTTTAAATAGAGTTGGAAGGAAAAAAAAAACCCAGGATCAAATCCAAATATTTCAAGATTACAATTTGAGATATTCTACAAAAAAAAAAGAAAACGAAAAAGAAAAAAGAAATCTCCCCAAATACGTCAAAAAATGAACTGAGGGTCGTTTCCTCTGTGAGTTGAGGGCAGTCCGACTCAGCCAGATACCATGCAGCAGAGTCCGGGGAACCGTCTCTTCCTCTGTCGGTTCAGAGGGTGGGGGGTCAGATTCAACAAGCTGCTGTCATCTGCAACAAACCAGAGCGTTTCATTTTACTAATGACTTCGGTTCAACAAATATGACTGCACAAAATCCACTCAGCAGGATACCTTGATTCTTCAGCGGCAGCGGCATCGTCTCCCTGAGTTTGCTGAGTAAGTTTCTCATCTCCCTCATGTCTCTGAGGAACAAACACAAGCAGCACGTTGGGATATGCATTTTAGGTTATACTCCCCCCACCCCATATATACTGTATATATATATATGTGTGTGTGTGTATGATTTTATTCCAGAGACAAACGATGACCGATGAAAGAGCATTTTTTGCTAAATCCAGTGAAACGCTGAAGGAAATAAGCCACTTTTTAAAGTTCAAAGAAGCAGAGCAGCTAGCTTAAAGACAAAAGAAGCAAAAGGACAATTACAACAAGGACAGTTGGGGCAGCTGTGGATGAGTGGTTAGAGCAGTTGTCCTCCCATGGGAATGTTGGGGGTTCAATTCCACCAGCAGTCACATGCTGAAGTGTCCCTGGGCAAGACACTGGACCCCTCATTGTCTCCGATGTGTGTCCCGTTGGTGTAGGAATGTGATAAAGAGCTGATTATTCTTTGTAGAGATCTAGTAGAGTGTTGTTTGAATGGGTACATGAGAGCACATGTACTGTGTGTAAAGAACTTTGAGTATCTTGATAAGATAGAAAGGAGCTCCATAAGTACAGTCCAATTACCATTTAAAAGCTAAATGCAGCAATGTGCTAGGTAAAAAGATTTGAAGGCAAACTAAAAGCTAAATGTAATTTTAAAAAAAGCAAACTAGTTTCCTGCTAAAAGCAACAAAAAGTTTTCCAAAACCTAAAAGCAGTAAAACATTAGACAAAAACATGAAAAATGCAAGCTAAACGTGAAAAAAGGACCAGCTTTTAACAAAAACAACAAACAAACAAAACCACTAACAACAACAACAATAATAACACTAACCACACAAACAGTAACAACAACAACAATGATATTGACAGCAACAACAACAATAATAATATTGATGACAACAACAACAATAATAATAATAATATTAATAACACTAACCACACAAACAGCAACAACAACAATATAGACAACAACAACAACAATAACAACAACTATAATAACACTAATAATAACAAAAACAACAACAATAATAATAACAACAATAATAATAATCATAACATAAAAAATGGAATAGAATTTAATGTAAATATAATAATAATAATAATTACGACAAAACCCACAACATTAAAAACAACAACAATAAAATCAATAAAACTACCAACAACAACAACAAAAATAACAATAATAATAAGAACAACAACAAGAACACTAGCAGCAACAACAACAATACTATTAATAATAATAACACTAACAACAACTACAATAATGATAATAATAAAAAATACTAACAACAACAACACTAATAATAGCATAACAACAACAACAAAAATAACTATAAGAATAAGAATAAGAACTACAACAAGAACACTAATAACAACAGCAACAACCACAACAACACTAATAATAACATAACAACACAACAACAACAACAACATAAAAATAACAATAAAATTAATAAAAAGAAAAACAACAAGAACACTAACAATAACAACAACAAAAGAACAACAATAATAACACTCACAACAACAATAATAATGATAACAACACTAACACCAACAACAACAACACTCGTAAAAAAACCCAGCAAAAATACCAATAATAATAATAACAACAAGAACACTAATAACACCATCACCACCACCACCAACACAACAATAATAATATAAACAGGAAAAAGTTTGTACCTTTCTATATTTTCGATATCAGTCCCCACCAGCCACTGCTCCTGAGGGAAATCAATGGGAGACGAGGACCGGTCCTCCAGGATGGGGACATCTGAGCTCTCATCCACCCTGAAGTCCATCTTTGGCTCCGAGTCTGTTCCTGACGGACCCAAAATAAACACAACAGTACTGAAGAAATACTAAAATACATAAGTATGCCTTTTTTATGCATTCATCTGTAGCTGTAAAACATTCATGCAGAAATAAAGTCTATAAGGACTTTATTAAAATAAATGATAATAAAAATAAATCAATGAAAATCAATTTAAGGCTTTAAGAAACACAAGTAGCTCTTTGCTGCCCCCTGCTGTTACAACACCGGGATAACAACGATGTCATATGAAATTACACAAATATTTTATCATGTTTTTCCTCAGTGTCGTTGATTTTTTTTTGTCTCATCAGTAAAATAAACTATAAAAATAGAGAAATATGCAAAATAAGCAGGAAATAAATAAATATTTCCCCTTACCAAAATAAATAACAAAAAAGAAAGAAAATTTACAGACATTTTAACATTTATCCTTTAAATATATAGAAGAACAATAGTTTAGAAAGTAACTGAATGAAACAAAACAGTCTAATTAAGTTATAATTTTCACTGTGAGAGATACAGAAATATAAAACACACAGTCATCTGTGTTTTCTTACAGACATATACTGGATGAAATGCTGAGATTTGTACTTTTGTGTTTTGTTTAAGGGAGCAGATTTTTGTCTTTCAGGAATATTTAACAGAAGTGTTTTTGTTTGTGTGCCGGTACTTCTCCTGTGGAGCTGCAGCACCCCCAGCAGGCACATGGACTTCAGCATCTCCGTGATGAACATCTCCAGGCAGCACTGCAGCTGGATGAAGAGCCGACAGATTTCAGGATGGATCTCTCCGTCCTCCGGCCTGCGGCGTGAAGAGGGCGAGCAGGACAGGAAGGACGAGATTCAGTCAGACAAATATGGGACTTTTGTCTCTGCTCACTGATAATTTCTCGCACCCAAACTCACATCAACTTCCTTTGTGTCCGAGCTTCAAAACTGGAAGGGCTCATTTAACTTGTCATATCTCCCACATGAAACACTTGAGCATCAGAGCCTTCAGCTCCTCGCAGTTTAAGAATGATCTCAATACGTATTATAGTTTTCCTACAGCAACTTTGTTTGAGGCTTACTTTTTACTCTGCATCATCTTCCTGCCTCGTAGGGACAGACACAAGTGTGCTGTTACACATCAAGTGTCATTTATACATTTTATCAGATAATTTTCCACAAAAACAAGAACTAGGATTTTGTTCACATTCTAAGTTCATGGCAAATAAACAAACAAAAAAACAATGCAGACATGTTCCTGTTTTTAGTATTTTATATCACTGTATTTCATAGGTTTTTTATTTATTTATATTTTCTTCAATTTAATTTTTTAAAATTTATATGGTTTATTTTAAGATCGTCCACTGTTGTCATCATTCTTTGTTAAAATCAGGTCTCTCTTGTAAATGAGTCCTTGAGGCTCATTGACACTAACTTTTAGAAAAAAACGTTGAATGAATTATTTCATGCAACTTTCAAATCATATTGAAAATACAGACTGATGGGGAATAGCAAGTTATGACTTTGGTAGCTGTATGACATAGATTGAGTTTACAAAAACTATTTTCATTCAACCTTTATCTATACAGGTTAATCCCATTTTGCTGTGTGTTTCACTGTTTGGTGTGCGGTTGCACCCTTCAGCCACCGTAGGGACTCATTTACAAGACAGACCTGATTTTAACAGAGTGATGACAACAGTGGACAACAACGACAACAGTAGACAATGATAAAGCGTGCAAATTGAGAATAACAAGTGAAAATAAAATGGTATAAAAAAATGTAAAAAAAACCCCAAACCAGCTAGATTATAAGGTGGTGTAGAAAACTAAAAACAGGAACATGTCTGCATTGGTTTTTGCAAAGAACTTAACAAATGTTTAAAGCCACTTAGAGAGGTCAAGGTCGAGAGCTTCAGATCTTTTTGTAAGATATTCCAGGAAACAGGAGCGGAGTAAGAGAACGTCCTTTTGCCTAGTTCAGTCCTCACTGAGGGAACACTGCAGGTAATAATGTCCTGAGAGCGCACGCTGTAGCTGCACTCACGCAGAGACATGTAGGAGGAGATGTATGAAGGCAGCAGACCAAGAAGTGATTTAAAGATGAAAATGTACCAGTGGGAGAGTCTGTGTGAAGTTAATGGTGACCAGTTAACCAGTGAATACTGGGTGCAGTGGTGGATATGGTAGTTACAGCCAGTTATGAATCTTGGCTCACTGTGATAAGACAGTGTCCAGCATCTGCAGGGTGCTTATAGATAATGTCACTGTAGTCAATCGAGGGAATGAAAGTCACAGTTACAAGGTGTTTCCTAGCATTCAGAGTTAGACAGGATCTATTTCTGAAAAAGAAACCCAGTTTAACTTTCAGTTTCCTTACTAGGTTTTCCACGTGAAGCTTAAAAGAGCTGTAAATCGACCAAGATACCCAGATATTTGAAGGAATCGACAAACTCAATAGGGACACCATTTTAGGATAAAATCAAAGGAAGAACTGCTGGGACCGACTTCCTATTTGAAGAAAAAAAAAAACCACCCCTTCGGTTTTGTCTACGTTTAGGATAAATTTGAAATGGAACAAATCTGACTGGATGATGCCGAAAGCGAATTGCAAAAGCTGGAAAACATTATCAACTGCTTTAGCTCGACAATAAACATCTGTGTCATCAGCATAAAAATGTAAGGATGCATCAGGGATGCTCTGACCTACATTACCCATGTAGATTGTGAAGAGGGTGGGTCCTAAGACTAAGCCTTGTGGTACACCACACACAACGGGTCACAGAAAGTTGAACTGAAGTTCACAATATTTTGTCCTCTTACACAATTTATTAAACAGGTAATTTTGTCCTTTTTCATTTTGTTTGTCTCACTATGTAGGACTGATAGTTTTCTCCTGGATCCCCTGGAGAGCAGAGTGTACCCAAACTCCCATTGACTCTTACCTTACCTGAGCTTCAAAACTGTCTTTTTAACTTTGTCTACAAAAACACTGAAAACACGTGGGATCGTCGGAGCATAACGCTTTTTATGGTTTGGGAATTTTCTGAAAACGATTTACAGTGTTTTCACATGACTGTTTGTTTGAGGCTTACTTTTTACTCTGCCATGTCTTCCTGCCTTATAAGGGCAGACAAAGGGGTGCGGTTACCATGGCAACCACAATGAGCCGCTTGCAGCAGGTTTTCGCGCTCCAAACCTCCACATGTTGCCATGTTTTCACCCTGTTTGGTTACAAAATGAACCCTAAACTCCCGCGTTCTTCCAGGGGAGAAAGTTGCTGCATCGCGTCATCATTCATCTTTTTACCCGTTATGACCCGAGCAAGACGCAGCCGACGAGCTCCATCTCCGCGTCTTACCCCGAGACGGAGACGACAGCCAGGTCGTGGTGCGCAGCCCGGGCCACGGAGCAGCCCTTGGTCCGGGTCTGGTGCAGCTGAGCCCGCAGGGACGGGCAGTCGGCGGAGATCTCCCCGACAGATATGACCTGCTCCCGGTACAGAGCCACCAGGGTGTTGAACTCCTGCACGGTCTGCACACAAACACCACCTTTCAGAGCGTGTACCGGTTCTGGTATTGGTTCGGGGGCTCGGTGCCGGTCCTACCCACCATCCTGCTGTCGTCCACCGCCGCCTCCGCGCTCTCCAGCTCCGCCTGCGCTCTCCCCACCGGGAAGATGCTCCCCGCGGATCGGGGGCGCTTCTTCCTCCCGCACTGTGCGGCACACATGCACGCGCTCCGCGGCGGACGGCTTTAAAAAAAGAAGGTTTAAAACGGACGGGTCTGGATGTTCCTGCTGGACGGTGACAGGAGCCCCGGCAGCCTCTGCATCCCAGCCGAGGGGAGAGTCACCTTCAGCCGCCTGAGCAGGCCGACAGGGAGGGGGGCTTCTCCGTGAGGCAGCCAACAGCAAAACAAGTCGTCACCTCCACTGTTAACCGTTTCTGAGCATCCAGGTCCAGAACCAGACGGAACCAGAACCTCACATCCTTAAAAACTAAACATGTTCCGCTTTAAAAAGAGGACTGGATCTTGATCAAATGTTTCATAGCTCTCATAGATAAATGGTCTTAAGAGCTATTTTCCTTGCAGCTCTTTAGTGTAACTGTTAGCAAAATATCTCATGAACGACTGGCCAAACAAAAACTGATTTATTTCAATAAATACAAGACAAAATATCAGTCTTTGATTAAAGTTTGTGACTCAGGAAGTTTAGGCAAATATGAGCCAGCTGCCTAGTTCACAGAAACAACTGAAGGACAGCTGAGTGCTGAATAGCTGCTGAATGTGGGATGAATTGTCTGCTGATTGTCGCTGAATGTCGGCTGAACCAGGGCTGAACTGAATGTCTGCTGAATGTGAACTGAATGTCTGTTGAATGTGGTCTGAATGTCTGCTGAATGTGGTCTGAACTGAATGTCT